TGGGCTTTCAGAGGTCAATAAGGGAGAGTGAGAACAATTTACTTTTTACTCCACCATCTTGGGTCCTGAAAGGGGAACCCGATAATTTCTTGAAAGATGACACCTAGGATCTTTTTTTGATCAGGGTTTCAGGTAGTTCAGCAATTTTAAAATTATCTCTCTTGGATCTGTTTTCTAAGTAATTTTTTTTCCAATGAGATATTTCACATTGCCTTCCATTTTTTCATTCTTTTAGTTCTTGATTTCTTATAAAGTCATCAGCTTCTATTTGCTCCATTCTGATTTTTGTGGAATTATTTTCTTCAGTGAGCTTCTGGACTTCCTTTTCCATTTGGCCAATTATGCTTTTTGTTTGTTTGTTTTTGTTTTTTGTTTTTTAGGCAGTGGGGGTTAAGTGACTTGCTCAGAGTCACACAGCTAGTAAGTGTTATATGTCTGAGGCTGTATTTGAACTCAGGTCTTCCTAAATCCAGGGGCAGTGCTCTATCCACTCTAGTTTGTTTTTTAAGGTGTTATTTTCTTAAGTATTTTCTTGTATCTCCTTTACTGAGGTGTTGACTTATTTTTCATGATTTTCTTGCTTCACTCATTTCTCTTCTTGATTATCCCTTTACCTCTTTTACTTTATTTCCAAATCCTTTTTGAGATTTTATGTGGCCTGAGACCAATTCATATTTTTCCTGGAGGCTTTGGATGTAGGAGCTTTGATGTTGTTGTCTTCTTCTGAGTATGTATTTTGATCTTCCTTGTCACCATATTAACTGTCTATAGTCAAAGGTTTTTTTTCCCAACATTTGCCCATTTCCCCCAGCCTATTACTTAATTTTTAACTCTTTGATAAAGTAGGTCTCTGCTTGCAGGTTGGAAGGTGCACTGTCTCAAGCTTCCAGGGTTTTGTGCAGCTGTTTTCAGAAATACTTCTAGGGACCTGTAAGTTTTCAGTTCTTCTAAGGACAGGTGTTTACTACTCTCCTGACCTATGCCCTGGTCTGTGAGTGACCACAAGCACTCTTTTCTGCCCTGGAACTGTGAGGAGGGTTCTCCCTGCACTGTGGTCGCAAGCTCTGCTATCCTAGTGCTCCTCCTGTAACTCGGATCCAAGTGTGTGCAAAGGAACAGAGTCCTGTCCCCGTGCTAACAAAAAGAACTCTTTAGACTGAGAGATCCAGAAGCAGCTGCTTCTGATTCAGTCAATCCTAAGGCCTGCTGCTGGTTTGCTGTGGCCAGAGCTGCGCTGGACTGTGTTCCACTCTCACCTAGGTGGGACAGACTCTTGCTACTCATCATTCAAGTTGTCTTGGCATCTGTGGGATGATATGTCTGTAAACCACCACAGCTGCCAATGATTCAGTTGCCCTGAGGTCTGCTCTCAGTTTGCTGGCCAGGTCTATGCTGGCCTGGCCCATACTGAATTGTGCTTTTCTCACCTTTTCCTTACCTACTAACCTTCCAAGTGGTCTTGGACTGGAAATTTGTTTTACTCCATTTTTTTGTGTGGGTTCTGTTGCTCTAGAATTTGTTTAGGGTCATTTTAAAAAGGTATTTGGAGGAGTTTGGGGGAGAGCTCAGGCGAGTCCCTGCCTTTACTCTGACATTTTGGCTCCACCCTCCCCCCTCCAAATCTGTTCTTTGTCAACACCATGTCCTCCAATCCTTTGATCTCTCAGTTCTCCTCCAAGCCATCACCTTTGCAAGAGCCACCCACTTCTCTTTTCCTCATTTTGACTTCTTAGGGAACAGGTTCAACTCTACCCTGTCCTTATCTCTTGAGTCCCTTGACCCTTTAATATATCAACTATCTTACCCTATCAAATTGCCTCAGCCTTAGATTTCTTCTACCTTTTACTACCATTGCTCCTATATATGTACTGCTGAATGAAGGTGGAGAAAAAGCATGAAAATGTCCTGACTGGGTCCACTACATATTTATGTTACACAACTCAACTGGGACCTCACAGCTGCCAGGCAATTCTTTTTCATCTCTCTAATTAACTCACTAGGGGCAGCTAAGTGGCACATTGTCTTAGAATCAGAAAGACTCATGTTCGTGAGTTCAAATCCAGCCTCAGACATGTCCTAACTGTGTGACCCTGGGTAAGTCACTTAACCCTATTTGCCTCAATTCCTCATTTGTAAAGTAAGCTGTAGAAGGAAATTGCAAACCACCCTAGTATCTTTGCCAACCAAAGTTTGCAAAGTTCAACCAGAACTGCTCTCTCCAAAATTAATAGCAATCTTTTGATAGCCAAATCTAATGGTCAGTCCTCATTCCTAGTGATCTTCTCTGCAACCTCTGTTGTCTGTCACAGTTTTTTCCCCATTCCAGTCTATCCTCCACTCAGCTGGCAAAGTAATCTTTCCAAGATAGAAGTCTGATCATGTCACCTCCATACTCAATAAACTCCAGTGGCTTGCTGTCACCTCCAGAATATAAAATCCTGTATTTGGCATTCAAAGCCCCTCATACCTTTACATTAATCTTAAAAAAAAAAGTTAACATTTATATAGCACTTACTATGTACCAGACATTACTATTATCTTATTTGATCCTCACAACAACCCTGGGACATAGATGCTATTATTATTCCCATTTTACAGATGAGGAAAGTGGGGCAAACAGAGATTAAGTGATTTGTCCAGAGTCACACAGCTACCAAGTGTCTAAGGCTGGATTTGAAGTCAGTATTCCTGACTCTTCTCTTAGGAATCTGTTCATTGTGCCACCTGCCAGGCCTGGGTGCTGAATTTCCCTGTGCAGTTTTACTGACACCCTTATGGGCTGTAGGAGTGGGGAACTTTTGGCCTTAAGGCCACATGTGGCCCTGTAGATTTTCAAGTGGGGCCTTTTGACTGAGTCCTAGTTTTACAGAACAAATCCTTTTATTAAGGGGGATTTGTTCTGTGAAGTTTTGATTCAGTCAAAGGGCCTCAAAAGGCCTGGAGGCCACAGGTTTCCCCACCCCCGCCCCCAATGCCAGCATTGATTACTTCCTTTTCAATGCTAGGTTTCAGGAGCCACACTCAAAGCTCTGTCTGGGAGTGATAAGGTGTCATGGCCCTTTGCTGACTAAACCAATTGTTGAAGATGGGGCTTGAAGGCCAGTACTCTTTTGCTTAGTTCAGGCCCCATTTGAAGATGAAATGATACATTCACTAGTCATTAAATGTTTAGCAAGAGGAGGTTTACTTGACTCTACCATAGCAAAAATGCTTAGCAATTAGCTTCTCTCAGTGGAGCTTCTCATTTCCATATATTCATCTGGTCATCAGGGCAGGTGAATTACTTACATGGAGTAACACAAATGCACCAAGTCCAAGGAGCCTAGATTCCATGTTCCTGGGGCTTTTTTTCCCCTTAGATTATCAGAAGGCTGCATTGATGAAGCCTAGGCCAATTAATTTCTAGGGGGGAATTTTGTCCTTGGCTTTCTCCAAATTGGCTTGAGGGGAGGGGTGTGATGGAGGGGAATAGTGGAAAATTAAGTTACATTTAGAAAGCTGGGGCCAGTCACATAAGTCATCTTGATCCTAAGGGCAGCTTTGTCTTCTTATTTAGGTAAAGCCTCCCCATATTGTGGGTTGGAAGAAAGAAGTATCATCAAGGAAACAATGATGCTATCACACTATATGGCAGGGGGAACCCTGGTTGATCATGATCCTATCATACCATGTAAATATAAAAACTCAACTTCAAAAAAAATCTATCTTTGTGAAATGTTTTAGTTAAGTTCTGTCTTATAACAAAATTTCCAAGCATCTAATATTTTTAACAGTTCAGTATAAGATAAATGTATCTTTTAAAATTACATTTTCTTTTTATTGTGAGCTTAATAATCAACAAACATTTATCAGATAAAGGAAAACAAAAAAAGCATACAAACTGTCAACCTGTTATATACACTTTGCTTTTATGAAATACATAAATATACATAACAAAGTACTGACAAATTTCCTCTACTTATATTTCCCTCAGCACTTTTCTGTTTACTTTAATAACATATATGTATATATACATGTGAATATATACATTTCTTTTTTGTATGAGGCAGTTGGGGTTAAGTGACTTGCCCAAAGTCACACAGCTAGTGAGTGTTATATGTCTGAGGCTGGATTTGAACCCAGGTCCTCCTGACTCCAGGGCCGTTGCTCTATTCACTGTGCCACCTAGCTGACCCAATACTATTTTATTGATTGCTTTGTTTTTTGCCTGTCTCTGAAACTTCTGTTTTGTGGGGTTTTGTTGTTGTTGTTCTTTTCTCTTTAAGACCAACCTTAGCCCCAGATTACTCTGGTCCCAGACCTAGCTCTCCTTGGTCACTGTTTGGGCCCTGATTGGCTCAGAATGGATGTAAACAACAGTTGTTTCTGTTTTGGCCAGAAACCCTGAAGGTCCTCCCCTCCCAGACCTATTCTTTTTTTAAAAGAGGCCATTCTTTGCCTCATTTTATTAAGCCTTGACCACTGAGTGGGCACTGCCTCCGTCAAACTGAGACCTGTTAAAGATCTTAGCTTGACAAGGCCAAGGTTCCCCCACTGCATCCTGGGTCATCTCTAATTGTCCTGATCCACATTTGGCCACTGGACCCACATAGCTTCAGAGGAGAAAGTGAGGCTGGTAACTTTGGACAGCCCTCCCTCACTTAAATCCAATTCACTTGTGTGTCATGACACCACTCCCTGATGTCATGGTCTTCTTCAAGAATGAAGGACATACAACAAAGCAGTACCTGCTAACCTACTGCCCCCTAGCTCCTATCTTTTGTCTTCATTTCTAATGTAGTATCCAAAAAACAAATCAACACACTAGCAATGCTTGTGACTCCATCTCTCATTCTATAGTTCTAGTCTCTACACCAAGTTATGGTTAATTTGTCATTATTACTACAGATACTCCCAGAGTTTATGAGGTGAGTTCAAATGCAGTTTTATATCTGGCTGACTTTGTCTCTTACTGACATAACTACAAGAAAAAAATTCCTGTTTCTGTTCTTACCTTATAGGTATTACAGTGCTACCATTTTGCAGATGTCAGGAGTTGAAGATGATAGACTTGCGATATGGCTAGCCTCAGTTACAGCTTTCACAAATTTCATCTTCACACTAGTAGGAGTCTGGCTTGTTGAGAAAGTGGGCCGAAGAAAACTTACACTTGGTAGCTTAGCAGGTAAGTTACTGGTCTGGAAATTCAATTGTAAAGTTTCTAATAAACAGGGAGAAATATAAAAAGGAATATTCCAAGTCTATTAAATACTTGACCACTGTTAGTCTCTTAAGTGAACCAGATAAATTGAATGCCCTCTCCCCTCCCCCCAAAGTATAGTCATTTAAAAAAATTATATTGATTTCCACTGGGATAACTGGAAATTTAGAAGATAACATTGTGAAAGCAGTTTTGATATTATGAAAGCATTTTTTCCTTTTATTACTTTTATTTATACTCAAGGGTACTGTTAAAATGAGAAGTGCTCATTTTATGCATATTTCATACTTGCTTGAAAGACAATGTTCATAAAGTAATTTATGTTTTCTTATTTGAAGATTCTGTGGAAGCAAATATAGAATCATATTATTCCAAATTATTCAAGAAAGGAAATTTGAGAAACATTATTTTCTATACTAAAGAATAACATAAATTTTAGACTTATTGTAGGTCTAAATTCTAGTGTAATTCACAATTAGATTACATTTGCTTTCCGTGATTTAAAAAAAAGTTGGTTTGAGTTTCTTTCCATTTCACCTTCTGCCTATCCATTCGTGATTTCCTGCATAATATGATATGTTCTTTATTTGTCAAAATGTGAATCATCATTGTTTATGCATGGATAAAACCTCTTCCTTTTAAATTTTCTTCTAGGAGTCTAGAACTTTAAATATATAGCTAGTCTTCAACTTAAAAACAGATTTTGTTACAAAAGTTTATTCTAGAGAAAGCAGTTGGAACTCAGAACTCTTTTTCTCATAGACCCAATCTTTTTATGAATGGTGAATAAATTCCTGGAGCAGCCCACAAAAATCTATTCAAATGTACTAAAAATGTCATATTAAAGATAATGTTTTGACTACACCAAACTACCACTTATAATTTTATTTCTGTTGCAATGCTTGCTTAGTTAGAATTTGGATCAACAGGAACATAAGTCCAACTACCTCAACAACAAGATCGAAAGCTTTCCCAAGTTTCTCTTCCTGCCCTACCTAGACAGTGGGAACTCCCTCAGCTAAAAGGAGTATTAACCGTAGTACCTGATGCTCTGTCAAAAGGCTAATAATACTCCTGGTTGCAAAGAGCTTGCTAAATGTCAACATTTGTATGTAATAAGTATGATCACTGGTGATCTGATAAAGTAGATGAATACTCCAACTAAATTGATAAGATTATAGGCTTTGTACTAAAGGGTTCAAGCCTCTCATAGAGCTAGACATGTGTCCTAGACCCTTGCTGAGAAGACAATATTGAATTTTTCTCAGTTTGCCATAACGCTTATAAAAGTGTAATATAGAAAACAGAAACAGATTATAGGACTTCAGTAGTTTGTTTTTTTAAATCTTGCCCTACTACCAGCACCAAAATCTGGTTTCTTAAAAAATTTGGCAGTGGAGATAAGGTGATTTTTATTTAGAAAAAAAAGTTTGAAACAGGAAATGTAGGGGACAGGCAGAGTCAGGATGAAGTGTTAGACCTGAAGTTAGGAAGAAATAATTCAGGAGTTCTTAACCTGGAGTTTATGAACTTTTTTTTTTGTTTTTGCTTTTTGATGAGGCAGTTGGGGTTAAGTGACTTGCCCAGGGTCACACAGCTAGTAAGCATAAGGTGTCTGAGGACAGATTTGAACTCAGGTCCTCCTGACTTCAAGGCCAGAGCTCTATCCATTGCGTCACCTAGCTGCCTCAGTTTATGAACTTTTTAACAAACATTTTGATAACCGTATTTCAAACAGTCAGTACTAAGTGCCTACTATATGGTAGGCACTGTGCTAAGTGCTTTGCCACAAAGAGTACTCTTAAGGAGTTAACAATTAAGAATTAATTTGGTAATCCCATATAATTTTGTTTTATGCAATTAAAAACACTATTCTGATAAGGCATCCTTAGACTCCACCAGACTACCAAAGGGATCCATGACACAAATAAGTTTAAGAAGCCTATTTTCCTTTCTTTCATATTGCCTACTGCTCTGGTGCCTTCTACCACTTTCTCTTCTTTCACTCCTGTCTCACATGATAAAGTAGTGTTACCCCTTTACTTGTTTTTTGGGGTTTTTTGTTTTTTGTTTTTAGTGGGGCATTTGGAGTTAAGTGACTTGCCCAGAGTCACACAGGTAGGAAGTATTATGTGTCTGAGGTCACATTTGAACTCAGGTCCTCCTGACTCCAGGGCCAGTGCTCTATCTACCGTACCACCTAGCTGCTCCCCCCCTTTATTTGTTTAAGTGACCCCATTCCATCTTGTCTCTTCCAAAAGATTGCCTCCCCAACATCCCCACTCCCTAATTTTCCTTTTTTTTCTTAATTACACGTAGAAACAAATTTTAATATTCATTTTTTGTAACTTTTGAGTTCCAAATTGCCTCCCTCACTTCCTCTCCTCCCATGCCCTTGAGAAGGCAAGCACTTGATACATGTACAGTCATGTAAACATATTTCCATATTAGTTATGTTGCAAAATAAGATTTTATCCCCTTTTTTAAAAATCTCTTTGGGATAGAGACCTAGTAGTGGTATTGCTGGGTTAAAAGGTATGCAGAGTTTTGTGGCCATTTGGACATAGGCCAAATTCTTCTCCAGAAAGGTTGGACTAGTTCACAACTCTCCAACAGTGCATTAGTGTCCCAATTTTCTGACATCCCCTCCAACATTTATCCTTTTCCTTTTTGTCATATTAACCAATCTGATAGGGGTGAGATGGAACCTTAGATTTGTTTTGATTTGCATTTCTTTAGTCAATGGTAATTTAGAACATTTTTTCTTATGACTATAAATAGCTTTGATTTTTTCTTCTGAAAACTGCCTGCTCAAATCCTTTACTACTTATGAATTGGTGAATGATTTTTATTCTTATAAATTTGACTCAGCTCTATATGTGTTTGAGAAATGAGGCCTTTATCAGAGAAACTTACTATAATTTTCCCCTCAGGTTCCTGTTTTCCTTCTAATCTTGTCTGCCTTGGTTTTGGTTGTGCAAAAACTTTTTAATTTAATATAATCAAAATTATCTATTTTACATCCCATAATGCTCTCTATCTCTTGTTTGGTCATAATTTCTTCCCTTATCCATAGATCTGAAAGGTAAACTATTCCATGCTCCCCAAATTTGCTTATGATATCACTCTTTATTTGTATATTGTGTATCTATTTTGACCTTATTTTGGTACATGGTGTGAGATGTTGGTCTATACCTTGTTTCTGTGAAACTGCTTTCTAGTTTTCCCACTTATTTTTGTCAAGTAGTGAATTTTCTCCCCCAAAGCTTGTATCTTTGCATTTATCAAACACTAGAATACTATGGCCATTTGATGTTGTGTCCATCACCCTATTTCTTAGCCAGTGCCAGATTGTTTTAATGATTATCATTTTGTGATATAGTTCGAGTTCTGTTACTGCTAGGCCATCATCTTTCACATTTTTTTCATTGATTTTTTTATATTCTTGAACTTTTGTCCTTCCAGATAAATTGTGTTATAATTTTTCTAGCTTCATAAAATAATTTTTGGTAGTTTTCAATGGTATGGCACTGAATAAGCAAATTAATTTAAATTAAATTTTTTAAATTTAAATTTAAGTTTAATAAAATTTAATTTTAATTTAATTTTAAATTAAAATTTAGTTGTCATTTTGATTACATTGGCTCGGCTTGCCTATGAGCAATTAACATTTCTCCAGTAGTTTAGATCTGTCATTATCTGTCTGAAAAGTGCTTTGTAACTGTATTCATATAGTTCCTGAGTTTGTCTTGGCAGGTAAAAGCCCAAGGATTTAATACTGTCTGCAGTTATTTTAAATGGAATTTCTGTATCTCTTCCTACTGGATTTTGTGGATAATAAAAAAAAAAAAGGCTAATGATTTATGTGGGTTTAATTTATATCTTGCTACTTTACTGAAGTTGTTAATTATTTCAGTTGGCTTTTAGTTCATTCTCTAGGGTTTTCTAAATATATCATCATATTGTCTGTAAAAAATTATAGTTTTGTTTCTTTATTGCCTATTCTAATACCTTTAATTGCTTTTTGTTCTTATTGCTATTACTAGCATTTCTAGTACAATATTGAATAATGGTGATAATGAGCATCCTTGCTTTACCCCTGATCTTACTGGGAAAGCTTCTAGCTTATTCCTATTATAGATAATGCTTGCTGATGGTTTTGTATAGATACTACTTGTTATTTTAAGGAAGACTGCATTTATTCCTATTCTTTCTAGAGTTTGGTTTTTTTTTAAAGAGGAATGAGTGTTGTATTTTGCCAAAAATTTGTTCTGCATCTATTGAAATGATAATATAATTTCTGTTGCTTCTGTCACTGATTCACTTATTTTCAATCTCTCCCTCTTGTTCATTTCCTACTGCCTAGAAACATGCCTATGCCTTCCCTATTCTGAAAAAACAAATTTCACTTTATCATAACATCCCTATTGTTATCCTATATTTCTTCTGACCTTTGTAGCTAAATTCTTTAAAAAGACCGCCTACAAAAGGTGCCTCCACTTTTCTCTCATTCTCTTCCTAACCCATTACAATCTTTCTTCTTACCTCATCATTCCACCCAAACTACTTCCTCCAAAGTTACTATCTCTTAATTGTTTAATCCAATGGTCTTTTCTCAATCATCACTCCCCTTGACCTCTTGACACTTTTGACACTCTCTCTAAACAACACCTCCTCCCCATATCCAGGTTTTTGCCAAGGTCTGTCAATTTCACATTTGCAGTATCTCTTGAATTTGCCTCATCCTTTCTTCTGATGCTACCACTCAACTGAGTGTAGTTCCTCAATCACCTCATGTCTAGATTGCTGCAATAGCCTATTGGTGAGTGTGCCTGCCTCAAGTCTTTCCCTACTCCAATCTATCCTCCATTCAGCCACTAAAGTGATTTTCCAAAACACAGGTGTGACCATGTCATCCTCCCTCCCCCACTCAAAAAACTCCAGTAGCTCCCTGTTGCCTCCAG